AAGAATTTCATCCTAGGTAGTCATCATGGGAGTTTCCATCTGCTTTATTTTTTCCTTTGGTTATAAATCTCTTTTCCTTTGAGGAGCAAACATCAGAGAGTAGCTATGAAGTGTCTTTTCCATGAGTGAAGATGATCAAATATTTAAGTCTTTCCCCCTCCGCCCAAATTTACTTCAAATCTAAGAGCATGAGTGGTGATGATGATGTGAAGTACCGTGGTTTTACGAGTTTCTTAAATCTTGTATAGCTAGAGCCTCCCAGGGATCGAGAGATCCAAGGAGTGGATGAGAAGCAGAGACTGCAGCACTGCAGCACTCTCAGCAAGATCTGAAAACTGCAGATGTAAAAAATGTTATATTCAGCTAAAGTTTACTTGACTAAGTCCAGTGGGTGTTTTTGTTCACAGTGGAAAAGTCTGGCTGGTATCGCTCTCTTCCTGTAACAGTTGTTTCGGATTTGAACTTTTCCCACAAGACCTACTTCCACAATTAGATTCAGATTGAGAAGTACTGTACAGTTGTTACTGTCATAAAAACAATCTGCTATAGCTTGATTATGGGATCAAAACCAAAAATGAAGGAAATGAGAAAATGTTACTGTAATTTCTTTAAGAAAATTAGCTGACTTTTTATAAAATTTGAGCATTGTATTGTTGGTGTAATAAGGAAGAACTCTGGCTTTCCTTGGGAAGGATACAGTTTTTCCTGTAAAATAAAGGACATTGTCTATAACAGCGGTGCTTGAGATGTGCACCCTACAGAGCATGGGGGTTTTTGTAATCCACCGAGTGGCTGGTATCATCTATTTTACCACATTTCAGATAATGGATCAGTGTCACTATAGTGTTGCCCAGGGCATTTCTCCTAGTAACTTTTCTTTAAAAAACTGTTAAGGAAGAGTTGTTACCTGTTCACCAGTACAGTGTTCACATGCGAGAGTTCTTGGAGAAAGTGCTGGGTTTGAGAGATGGACAGCGATTAAAGGTTTTGTGAATAGAGAGAGTACTCACAGGTCCATTGGCGGGCAAAGGAAGGCCACTGTATGCTGCAGATCCCTGGCTTTGGTGAGTACGCAGTGCCTAGACAGCTAATTGGGTTGGTGGCTGATTCAAGAGACGCTGCTGATTCCAGCCTGAAGAGAGGGAAGTCTCGTGAGGAAAAGCTGCTTCCGCACACCTTCCTGAAGCGTTGCTCTAGTCCTGAATTGTTCTGAAGTACTTTCCTGTGGTCTGCACAGCTGTGAAATAAAATAAGTACAATGCATGCCTTACAGATGAAGTTCCACACTGAAGACGACCACACTGTGGATGCTGTCGTTGTCACTGTTCAGGTTCTGGTTTCACAACCCAGCTAAACTGGGAATTTCCCAGTGGTCGGCAGGTGGTGGGAGTAGCTGTGTGTACTTTCAGCTCAAGGCTAAAGAGGATCAGAAGAGGAGCCATGCATGACTTAGTGTGTTGCCATCTGAGATAAGGGTGGAAAGAGGAAAAAATATATCCATTTCATGTTACCGCTTTGATAAGCCTGTCTTACATTAAGTTTTTCATGTATTAAGAGATACATCTCAGATTCTACTTTAAATAATAGGTTGCTCATTCATTACAATTAGATGTGAAGGAGTCGGGAGATTGGAGGAATCAAAAGATACAAGAGTTTTGTTTTGCTTATGGTACTTGAGTGAAATTTTACTGTCTCTGATATAAAAGATTTCAGACTAGATTATCTAATGATCCCTTCTGCACTTATGCACTGTGAAGCACTAAAGAACCAGTTTTGTCATCAAGTCTACGAAGTCAGTTAATGTTGATCAGAAAGGGAATTGTTAAGTTCCTCCATTTAATCTCCTTAAATTAAGGTTAAATCAAAAATTTAGAAACAAAACCTTTGTTTATGAGTTATTTTTGGTGTGTACCAATAATACTCAAAATTAAAAAATCAGGAGTTAAACTTTATCTACAAGAAGGATGTGACTTGTTACTGTTTATCTTACAAGCTGGACTGTAATATTATCATTGGTGAATTTTGAAATCCGTAATAATGAGCATTTATGGATGAGGTTTGGTTGCACATCTAAATGCCTAGAGTAGTACAGACTCCCACCAGTGGCTGCCATCCAGCTGATCATAAGCGCTCTCCTTGGCAGCATCAGTCTCAATCTGGAGTGTGTTTGTGGTGGCTCAAGCTGATGCAGGTGAGCTCTGAGCTGGGATGAGCAAAGATGTACACACAGCTCGTTACTGCAGGTATGTGGCAGGTTTTTAAGGCAGAGGACTTCAACCGCTTTCAGTCATGGGGACATGCCCTCATGACGGGAGTGGCAATCCAGCAGTTTATTGAGGGCCAAATGTGCCCCCTAATACTTTTGTGTGCAATGACCCAATACCATGCTTGCACTTACTACTTCTGTTAACAGCAAGACTTTAGTTTCAAAGGCCTTTCGAGCTTTAGTCATGGACTAAGATACTGCTGAGGTTGGTACTGTATCAGTACAGAACACAAGCGTAGCTCCTGCCCAGATGGCTTGTTATCTAGGTGTAAGATAAGAGACAACAGGTAAATAGATGGGGAGCATGGGGAGACTGTGAGGCAATACTGATCGGCGTAGTGAGCAGTAACATCAGTACTTGGCACAGGGTGTCTGCAGGCAGTGCTTTGAGGCACAGTAGCGAGCTATCGGTAGGGAGGTTTACAGAAAGCTCCTCCTATGCAGAGTGAGAAAAGACAAACATGTGCCTGTTCGAAAATCTAGTGGAGGCTAGTATAAAATTTTTGTCTGTGGTGGGAATCATTTTTTCATACTGAATGAGAATTCACAAAGAGAGGGGCTTTGAGAATTAGCACGAGGTGGTTATGCTCGATGCAGTAAGTCTCTAGAAATGGAAGGAAACATAGATGAGATAATAAGCTCTTGTAAGTTCTGGTTGAAGATATCTAAAAAATCTTTCTGGTGGATGGACATGAGCTGGCTCATTATGTTTCTCACAGAGGAAAAGTCATTGAACGAACAGATATGAGAAGATCCAAGTCTGTGGAGCAGTTATTTCTGTGTAAAACCCATACCTCAAAGATACTATATAGAAAGAATCTGGAAAATTTAAATGAAGCCTGTAAGCAAGGACTTGCAGAAAGGCTTGGTCTAAGAGAGAGTCGCAGGCCAGGGAAACAAGCCAAATGGGAATGAGATTCACCATCATCAGGATCACAGATGTCTCACAGAGCTTGAAAGAAAAATCAAGAGTTTTGGATGTGTTATTTTGTGATGGTAGCTAAGCATAACTCTGGGGGAGACAGAGTGAGATTTTAGTTTAGTTAGAAACAGACAGATCTGGAAAAAAGAGGTATATGTGTCCAAAGCAGTTCTATAGCTTAATGAGTCACTATTACAGTATCAGAATCAAGATCTTGTCTCTGACAGACCACTCCTGCTGAGAAGCAACTAACTCTTGTGACTAACTCTCCTGAAATCAAGAGCGACAGAAAATAGTCTTTAGAAATGCAAGTCAATTTAAAATCTCGCTTGCTTGTGCAAAGTGTGTTAAGAGATCAAACATATATTATACAGTATGTTGTAAACCAGTTAGCTGTATTATATGGCATCTCAGTGAAACAGCTCCAGACATTTCTGCGTATGTGAAGTGAAAGTTATTATTGATTTGTCAGTTGCAGTGAAATCTTCTCTCCTATCATTTTTATTTATGTATTTAAACAGATGTAGCCTCTGATACAGTAGCTCACATCACCTTTGTATCTAAGTAGTCCCCTTTAATTCAGTGGTGGTCCCCAAGGGTTAAGGTGGTGCTCACCGTGTCAGGGCATTGGCAACTCTCCCTTGATTATCAGATGCTGTTGAAAGACATGAGTGTGACATCAATTTAAGTTTCCAGAAATGCAGGAATAATTGTAAATGTTACTTACTAACATGCTTACAAACCACAATACTGATCTAAACAACGTGAAGACAATGTCTGCTCACTGAGTGTTGTTTTTTTTCTTTTTTTTCCTCAACATTCATTTCTTAAGAAAATTGGCTAAAAAGCGAAAAGAGACATTGAGTAGTACACGGCAGGAAATGACAGTGATGGTGAATTCAATGGATAAAAGCTACACTGAGCAAGGCACCAACTGTGACGAAGCTTTCTCTTTCATGGACACGCACAATCTAAATGGGAGATGTAAGTTTTTTCTTTTCTTCTCTTTTCTTTTTTCTTTTTTTTTTTTTTTTGGAAGGTGGAAGAAAGGTGCAAATGGTTTTTAAAATATTCCTTATTACTCAGTCATAGAAAATCCATGGGACCCAGAGTTTCCCACCGTGCAGCACATTACAGTGTGTATTCGAATGAGCAAGACAGTCAGACATCAAGAATAGACTTCTTTAAAAATAATAAGGATAATTGAGCTTTTTTCTGCCCATCCTTTTCTTCTGAAGAAGAGCGAAGACATTACTGAAACAGCTGTAGTTTTACCTTTCTCCAATCTCTATTATGTTAAAAATTTTATATCCCTCATGCTGTCCTAAGTCCTTCAAATGCTTCCCCTGCTCACTTCTTTTTTTGTAGGCAAAATTTGTTTTTGAATGTCATAACTTAATAAAGTTGATCTGATTGTCTTATTATTTTCAATTGTAGATGATGCTCTTTCTGTTGCTTGTACAAAGGAAGAACTCAGTGGAATTATCTGTTCTGCAATTTCATAAGAGATTCTCTAATATCCTGGGTCTTCTTGGATCTACCATGAAAAGAAATAAAATTTGGGATATAAAATTTCCTGTATTAGAATTTTAGTCAAGGACTCACTCCTATCTGGGGGTTAGCACTAAGCAAAGATCGGGAAAAACTAGTTTTTATAATTGTTAAAAAGAATGAAAAAAGAATGACTATGTTCAAAAAACTTTCTTGTATTTTGTATTTCTTAAGGAACCTCAGTTTTTCTTGTGTACCAGTGTTTTTGAACATATTCAGAATTTGTCGAAGATTGAATTTTGTTTCAAGTACGAACAGTATGTGAGGCCCAACTCCCCCTCTTTAGTAATATGCTTAGGAACTTATCTTTGACGAGCTCAATTGTACAAACACTCTGTGAGGTTTATACAATGAGGCTTCTCTCAGCAGCATTAGGCTCAGAATTTGCAATGTTAATTTGCGTTTGAGTTACTTTTGGAATTGCTTTGAAATAGATCTTTCAAAATCTGACTTGCCTTTCTGGTGAGAATATACCATTGCAGTTAATGAGATTGCTTACTTCTGTGAAAAGGTGAAGAGGTTTGATTTAGTCTTCCGTCATCATGATGTAGTTTTCCAATGGTGTTACTGAGTGGTCACAATAACCAATGAAGACGCAATGAGTTCCTGGGACTAAATCCTCTTTCTGTAAACCACCTTAACCCAATTTGAAATTATTGGCATAGCAAGTATTTTATACCACTTGAGGGCTAGAACCTCTAATTGGACTTTCCATAAGAAATGTGGTCAGCAGAAGAAGCAGTCTGACACCAGAGGCAGCAGTCTGACAATCTTTAGGAATAATCTTTGTGTAAGGCCTTGTACTCAAGAGATTTAGAACATTCCCGCTTCCTATGAAAGTTTGTTTTCCTGGCTGCGTTCTGTATCTAGCCGATTTTATTAGCTGCAGCAGCCCTGACCTCAAGTAATCTCTTCATCCATACCCAAAAGGAATTCCACTCTGTTCTTTCTATCCAGTGATTCAGGAGACATAATCAAATGAAAGTAGTCTCAGATATATTCATTTATAGGATAAGCGATAACTGCCAGCATTATTTAAGCCAGTTTTCAGGTATCTCCATCTTAAAAAGGGCTGGCAACTGTATGCCCTAGATCAACCAAAAAAAAAAAAAGGTGGATGAAAGGCAGTAGGAGTAATCTCACTCCTCATCCAGCAGATCCTGTCTCCCTCAATTCTACTTTTGTTTCACAAATTCCTGTCAGTCTGTTTATAGGTATCCAGAATGTGCTTACGTTCACTGCTCCGACTGCATTTGAGCTGTATAGACAAGCAACTAAGGCTGAATTTGGAATGAGCTTTGCTTAAGAACCTTTGATGACTCTCTGGCTGAACGTCCTGTAAAATGTTGTGAATAACTCCCACCTGTTGAATGTATCTGTGCTTACAATGCTAATTCACGTGATCTTTGCATACCAGGGAACTAACTGAACTTAATGTGTTGCATTGGGCTTTCCCATAGGTTTTACAAATGGTTAAATGATTGAATACCAATGCGAGCATTGGTCTATGTATCACTCCCTCAAAACCATTGTTAAACAAAGAGTAGTATTCAGGGCATAATAACATCTGAGTACACATTATCCACCTGTCTGAACAAAACCAAAAAAGGAGAGAAAAAAATGAATGATTGTAGAATATTTGCATGCAGTATTTACATTATTATTAAGTAAACTTACTAATGACCAAAGCTTCTGTCAAACTCACCTGTTGTCATTGTGATGTCTTTATTCAAGCATCAGTATTCAGTCTAATCTTGTGAGTTAGGAAGTATATTTGTCATCACCGATCAAAATGCTTTCTCTGATGACATTTCCTTTTAGAGAACTGATCAAATGCAGTGAGCTATTTTATTCACTAGACACACCTGGTTTTCCCTAAGTCCTGATCCCAGTGCAACAAACACAACAGGATGGACTCGAAGCCAAGTCAATCACATTCGCTGTATTGCTCAGCTTAAATAGCCACGTATCGCTTCACTGTCTCTAACCAGCTTTGTTTCTCTTTGCAGCTGTATCCTCACCATCTTCATTTACAATGAAAACTAACACATTGAGCACAACAGTGCCTAATTCTTATTACCCAGGTAACCGCTTTTTTTCTTAGTTTCCACCCTATATAGACCTTTTCATAATAAAAGCATATATAATTATGTTATTTTACTTCTTGCCATAGAAATTTAACAAATATATAAGCAACATACTGGTTGCTTACAGTAGCTTTCTGAAAGAAAACTCAGAAACATTTATCAATCATTTACTGTTCTCTCTCTTTTTACCTTTTCTGCATTGACCTGCTTATGATGTATGACAGATCCATTTGTGCCAACTGCAATTTTAGGTGAGAACATTTGCCTTTATCAAAGTTTATTGCTGAAGTAATTTGGAAAGTCACAGTTCTCGGGGTACAGACAATAATATGCAAAAAGCTGGAGTTTCATGCTAAAGAGAGGGGTGGTAGGCTTGGCTACACTGAGAATGCTAAGGACAGGTAGCAGGCTTGATTATTACTGTCATAATGCAAGTCAGGGGAGAAAAGAGAGAAAAAATTTTAACAAGTGGATTTGCAAGGAAATGTTTATGCATGTATTTGGAGTGACACAAAAGAATTTGATTATCGCAGCAATTGAAATAGTTTCCCTCATTTTTTTTCCATTTTTATCGCAGAACCAAAGATGTCACTTCTTAAAAATAACTTTTTTTCCTAATTAGGCCATTCATAGAATCATAGAATCATTTACGTTAGAAAGAACCTCTAAGATCATCAAGTCCAACTGTAAACCTAGCACGTCCAAATCCACCATACAGAAAATCAGACAAAATATGGGTTTGGCCATCCACCAGTTATCATTTCTTCTCACAATACTGCAGAGTTTCTGACATGCTTGTCAAAGTGAAGTTTCAGAGGAGAGATGGTACTTTGGACAGCAAAATGATAACATGACACTTAGAGTATATCGTTTATTATGCATCAGGTGTCACAGGAATGAAATAAAACAGTAGAACTGTAGGTTAAAAAACATACAGTTAAAATGTAAAGCATTTCCCCTGGGAATTAAGGAAAGCCTGCTATTGTCCAGTGTCAGAAAGAGAGGTTTCTGCACAGTGGTAAAACAATGAGCATGAGGCACTATTGCATTGTCAGTGCTTGAGTAACTCTAACCACTTTGTGGCTTGTCATTTACACCTCCTTCCCATACTAACTTTAAACTAAACAGGGAGATTTTTTAAAAATAGTAAGTCAAAATATAACAGTACACTGTAGCAAGAATTCAAACTCCAATGTTAAGCCTATCTATTCTTTTTACAATGATTGATGTTTTTACAACAAATACTGTTCTTTCTCTTCCTTTTTCTTCAAATCACTGTAAAAAATGTAACACCCCTTAATTGACTCCTGCCCTTAAACTGTAAGTTCAAGAGGCTTAAGTAAAAGTAGAGTGAAGCATATAGGAAGTAGAAGTTTAGGAAGATGATCTTGAAAATTTGTTACTGTGAAAGAATATTTAGCACAGTGCATTTCAGTGTGATAACTTGGAGAAGGAACTTGTGCGTTTTTATACATTATGTAAATCTGGAAGAAGGTAATGGTAGTGACTGTAACAATGTAATAATCTGCATGCAAATGAAATTTGCAGTGCCTTTTAACTGCCCGAGATGTTAGATTTTTTGTGTGCTTTAGCATTCATTCAACACTTCATCCAGTAGATGTTCTTTCTGACCTTGTGGGTGGGCAAGGAGAAAAGTACTATTATCAGGAGAAAAATTCTGAGATTTCCTGTCTGGATTATTAAGTTTTAGTTAATGATTTCTCTGGGGTTTTTTTGTGATCCTTTGCTATATAATAATGATGGTAAAATTATTTGTTAGCTTTTTCCCCCCAAGAAATAATCTCTAAGCAAGTAATTCAGATATCAGACAAATACACGCTGGAAAAAAAGATTCTTTGCTTTTACTAAGTCTGTAAAATCTTGAATTAGTTAGATATGTATTTTATGGCCTACTACAGCAACCTGTGCTTACTCATCTCAGAAAATCTTCCAGTTATTTCACTGTGGAAAATGAATATTTTTGTAACCTCACATGTTAAAAATTTAGTACCCTTTTATGAGTGGTGTTCCATTCAGATCAGGTCTCTCCCACAAAATGTGTTTATGACTGTCTATATAGGAACAGTGTTTTATCTGAGATAAATCAAATTAGCTATGCTTGAGTTGGTAGAGGAATATAGCTATTAACAAAATATGCTGGGTTTTAATTGCAACTAATACCTGCTGTTGCTGTCTTCCAACATCCAAAGAAGTTGTGTTAGACTGCAGGATCAACTCTATGGTTAGAACTAAATGAACTTTTCAGTGCGACCTCCTGGGAAGGATACAGGTCTGGTGAATGGTTGAGTTTAGTTTTCAAAATCTGCTAGAAAGGCCACAACACACTTACCATTTCCAAATTCATGTACAGCAAGATCTTTGGACTATTCATCCAAATCAGGAACTTCTTAGCCAATTGGAAAAAAAAAAAATACTGATAATTAGTGGTGAACTCCTTAAATGATGCAAAAGAGTAACTTCTCAGTTTCAGATATGAGGAAATTTTCTCACGTTTGAGGGAAAACTTTCATGCTTAGCTTAATAACCTAAGTGAAAACCTGAGATTTAAAAAAACACTTTACGTAACAGTGGCTAAATTCATAGTTACTGAGCATGACTGTAGGTCCTGTTTGTCCAGTATGAGCAATGTGCATACTTCTGAAATTGGAGAAGGAAAAGAGTCTCAGCCCAGAAAAGATATTGGGCTGGGTTTGCAGATACCTTCCATGCCATGAGTTCATATAACTAGTAAATAAATATATTATTTAAGAAGTGTTGTACAGCTCTATGGGAATGAGTAAGTGGAGAGTAGAACAACTACAGCTGTAGGAGTATTTGAGCTGGACAAACTTCCCATTGCATATGAGCACTGCATCTGGAGGAGCGCACCCTTTGAGAAACAGTGCACTATTATGCCTGAAAAGCACATGCTACAGTGTTCAAAAGCAAAGCAAAAAACTAATATACACAGCTCCTAAAGTACCATATAAACCAAGGATTGAAAGCACTGTATTTAAAACAACTTAAAAGATCACTCCCAAAGAAAGAAAAACAGTATCAATGCAGCTATAAGAGATAAAGAAATAGAGAGAGGAAAATTAATCTAAAACAAAGGAGCTCACAGGAAAGGGATTCACAAGGATTAAAACTGCTGCTTTCGTAGCACAAGACTGTGCTATCTGATAACTTTGCCTTCATCTTAGTTACTAACAGTCTGTGTTACAAGGAATTCTGTAGCTTGCAAAAAAAAAAAACCCAAGTTTTCCAGCCTGTTTCTAAAATTGAAATAAGCCACCCAAAAAATCATGATCAACTTCCTACACTTTTTTTGTCTTTTGTGTCTTAGCCACCTTGTAGTTTTCAGGTGCCATCTCAACAGCAACATACTGTACCTATACTTGTATACCACGCTTCATGCCATGCATCCCAAGGTGCTTTGCAGTACAATTTTATTACACATTAGACAAAAGTTGTCAAATTTTATGAATAAAAGATGAATCACTTTCCTCTGCATTAGATCAGGTTAGCAAACCAACAGGAAAAGCAGTGAAATGCCCATACTCATACTCAGAAATTTTTCTCTGTTATTTATGGTTTAGGCTTAGATGCAGAGTTCATATTGACTGTATGATTATCGCAGACCAGATTTCATGTGTCTTAGTATCAGTGTGAATTGAGAGAACCTAAAATAATCCTTGAAATATGATTAGTTGAGCTTGTGGCTTTAACTCCAATTTTCTGTGGTCTAACTAGGACTAGAATCTCACCTTTAATGAGGTCTGGTAGTATTTTTGATGTGTACGTGAGAATCTGGGACCTTTTGATCCAGAGTATTTGTAGAACTTTCTGCTATAATATATCTAACTTATGAGTGTGGAAATATTTTTTTAATGCTTCCCTTTCATACAACATATTTTACAAAGTAATATTTTTTAAATAAATATAGTATTTTTATAAACCCCTTGCTATGTTTAGTGTGCAGCCAGTGAGGAGCAGTTTGAATAAGTCAAAGCACCACATTTACCATTTCAGTTAAAAACAAAAAACTCTTTGAGATATGTAAAATCATTATTTGAGTAAACAGAAAAAAATATTTATGATGATACTTGGACCTTAGAATTTGAATTGTTTTTTTTCTCATGTGAAGTCTGAACAAATTTTTTAAATTCCATCTAAACAGGAAGAAAGTCATATTGCTTCCTTAGGCGGAGGGCACTTTCACATCTGTCTATTTACTGCTGAGTATAAGTTTTGATCTCAGTTGCATCTGTGTGAATTGACTCACAATAAGATACCTTGCTTTCAGTACATTTAATTTATACTGTGAAACTGAGATCAGAATCTGACTCATTTAGGAAATCACTCTGTAAAGACTAAATTACAAACATAAAATTACCTGTAATTATTAATGTAGAACTGTTGCTTATGCCCTGTTTCCTTTTTCTCCTCCTCTTTTTTTCTCCTGATATGTATCTTCTTAAAAGTGCCAATCAATGGTAAGTTGCCCATTTGCCCCTTGGAAGAGATGTGGAGGGTTGGGAGAGTATGTGTCTCATAAAAATTTTAACCAGCCCACTGGGTTCTCCTGTTTGTTGGCTTGCATGTCAGTTGACCTAGAACATTCCATGCCTAATGTGATGGCTCATGATACACCATGGTCCTAAAGCATGTTCAGCAGCCAGTCAAGACACTTTTCCCGATCAGATGATCCTTTGCATTTGTCCTCTCATAGTTTGTCTCCAAGTGTTGTATCAGATCTACATTTCCATTGCAGTCCTAGCTTGATGAAACCATAAGCCATTTTGTCATCTTTTTATTTTGCTCACTCCAAACATTTGCTCTAAATTTGCAATGTAAAATATAGCACTTCAGTAGTCTAAGAAGAATACAAGTCCAATTTCTTTCCGTGGGACTTGTTGAAGTTTCAGAATGAAACTTCTATGCAGTTTAGAACAAAATGCCTAATTTAAAACCTATTTGTAATCAGCTAGTGGTATTTGAAACAATATTAGAGTTCGGACTGCTCTGCAACGCTTCCATTGTGCAACCATGGACTTTGCCTCATTCCAGTCAGTCTTGCAATTTCCCTGTGTAAACTGCTCCATGGATTTACTGTTCTTCTGGTGTAGCCTTCACAGAAAGAAGCAATACTGATGGTGTCAGATTTCTGCCAGTCCTCTAGAAATCTGTGTAATTTCTATTCCTGTTTATAATAGGAAAATGAGCCAGTACATTATGAGATACTCTTTTTCTAGATGAAACCCATACGATGGTCAGTGACACAAGCAGCCTGGTCCAGTCCCATACCTACAAGAAGCGGGATCCAGTGGATGTGCCCTACCAGACCGGACAGCTTCATCCGGCCATCCGGGTGGCTGACCTGCTACAGCACATCACCCAGATGAAGTGTGCAGAAGGCTATGGATTCAAAGAAGAGTATGAAGTAAGTGTCGGGTCTAATGATCTGATTGTGATGTCTTCTGCAGTGTTGGCTTTATCTGTCTGCTACCTGCACCACAGAACAGGAAAAATAATTGCTCAACCAAGTAAGCCAGCTGCTGCGTGAGGGAAAATATTGAATGAAAAGGGTCGTCTCTACAGTGAGCAAATTTTCTGATTGCAACCAGCCAGGATGAGGAGTGAGACATAAAAACTTTTCTTGGAAATCTCTGCCTAATTCTAATTGCATAAAGCTGTGTATTCAAAAAATCTAGCATTCTCCCAGAACTTGCTATATTTTTCTTTTACGATTGAAGAATATAGCTTTTTTCCAGAGTTCTACATCACAGGTTGTCTAATCACAGTTACCCTGTAACATGATATTAGCTTAGAAATCAAGTTCTACAAGCAGTATTTCTTGGAATAATAGTATTCATCATGGAAAGGAAGTGCGCAAATCTTCAGAGAGGCCGCAGGGCTATAAAATTTATTCTGTGGTGCCTGAACCGTTTCCCACTAGCTGGAGGCCATCTCTAATCCTCATTATTTTTCATATGAACTTACAGTCTCTCTTTTTTCCTTTTTTGAAATTCAACTTCTGTTTCTTCATTTCATGCTAGAATGACCTCTTCCTCCCTGTTACCATCTTAGTTTTAAATGTCACGACCGCTACATCCTGGCAAATGCTATAGGAACGCAGCTCAATGCACTGCAGATACCATCTTCCTTGTGAGATGAGTCAGTTTGCTAAGTGAAAAAAGCTGAAAACGAGCAGAACTTGCTGTCATGACCAAAATTAAGGGTAGTATTGTGCCTGACTTCAAAAGTTTAGTTTTGCTGAAGAGTCTGAAGAACACACCACTCTTCATCCAAATCATATATTTGAATGAACACTTACCAACCTGGGTTCCTTGTCTAATGGGAGGAAGGATTTGAGACCCTTTAAAATCTGCTGAGGTCAAATATTTTAATTGTTAGGGAGTAAAAATGAGTGTCCTTGGTCCACATTTTTCTGCCTTTTAGCTCAGATTTTAAGGAGTTTATTCTTGTGAATGATTCTTACACACAGGAACACTCTAATATGGGTTGATAAGATGTCTACAGCAAGTAGTTTCCCACAGGATTACAGCTCAGTGGATTTGAACCCAAAAACAAGTAGCATAAATATATTACTTCACAGAAGAAAAATACGTAAGATTGATCTGCAGGGTTAGACTATTAAATTATCAAAATTGTCATAAGAGTGTATGAGAATTCGTGAGATAATTTTGATTGATCAGGTAGGAAGAAGCACTGTGTAAGAATTTGTGGGGTCTGATCTGTAGGCAGACTTGAAGCTGTCACCTCTGAAATAATCTGTTAACTTTTAATACATCAAATGGACTATGATCCCAGATATGTGATTAGATTTAAAAAAAAAACAAGTTCCCTGCCATGTGGTCTAGGAAGCAAATAATGATCCCCAACAGCCCACCCCCCCATTTCCAGGAGGCGACCGCACCTGACACAACCTTGTATCTGCCTCTGTGTGTGGTAGCGTCCCTTTGTCCAGCCAAGGAACCTGTCCCGTCCATTTGTCCAGTTGAGGAACCTGTCCAAATTGCACTGCATCTCCACCCCAGTACACAGTCCTAAATTTGCTTTCCTTGGAAACTAGAGGGTGAGAAATCAGAGGAGGAGGTGTGAATGGGTCTTACTCTGACGTAGCCAGTGAGAAGCAGAATGAGACAGATTCCATTTTAACTCTGTCTTCTCAAAGTGGAAGCCAGCAAAAAAAAAGATCCCTTCTCATTCTTTCATCTGATAGAAAGAGAAGAGAGGAGGACAACCAGCAAAAGTCATTTAAATTACTTCCACCCTGTAGGGCAAGCAGCAATTTCTCTTTTGGGTGCGCACAAGTGTGCACTGCCCTAGAGGCTCAATACACCATGCTTGAATTTTAAAGGCAGGAACTGAAGTATTCAGTGTTGCAGGTCCTTCAGGATGACTGATACCAATTACTGGTACATCGCCGAGTTTTTACAAGCGTGCATACTGCTTGCATTTTACAAGAGAGTGGTTTTTTGAAGTTTGCGCTTTGTCATGCCAACTCCATGTTATAACAATTGCTTAAATATGTAATTGTTTAAACTGGTATTTGTAGAATTAGACTTCCAAAGCCCATGCTTCAGGCCAGAGTCACTGATGACATTTTTTCCCCTAAAATGTAGAAAACCATTCATTCCCAGAAGGAGCTAATCACTTGTCAACTTTCATTTGTGTAGCTGACTTAAACGAGTTTGTTCCTGGGAGTTTTTTTATGCCACTGTTATTTAAAAATTATAGAATTTAAAGTTCTTGTCTTCAGAAAAGATTTGCTCATCAGCCAAAACCTTTTATACCAGCGTTAAGCCTAGAGGAAAGCTACAATTAATTTATATATTAAAAAAAAAAAAAAGACGACTGTAAAATGGAATTTATAATGCAACCAATGACATGGCTTTTTAACTACAGTGGATCAAATAATGCTGCTGAGAAACAGTTTCCAGGAAAACCACTTAATTTTGAGCTTACCAAGCTGATGAATGGCATCCCATTACAGACAGTAGGTGTAGTCATGACTAATGCCAGTAGTTGCAATACATTAGGGTGCAGTTTATTAATAGCGGCAGGGAACAGGAACTTAAAATACTGCAGCTGCATCTGAAAATTGTTTATCATCAGAATGAACCATAACTAGCCCTATCTTTGAGGGGTTTTTTTCCATTGAACTACTGCAGTATTGCTGGTTTTCCTCCATATGCAATGAAAAACTGCCCAATATACTCTGGCACTGCTAAGACTGTGAATCTCTTTGTTTACACTGCTGTCAGACTGATACTGGGCTCTCTACAAGGTTGAACTAGACAACGAAAGCATTTTTTCCTTCTAAATTATCAGAAGGATAACTGTCCAAATGCAAAGGAAGAAATAGTCTGGCAGGGGATTTGTTTTGAATGAAGTCTCATAGATGATTTTTGCTCTAACAAGACAGCAGGATTATATAGTCTCGCCAGGGAAAGTGTTTGATTCAGGAGAAATTCACACAGGATTCACTCTGAAAATAAATCTGTTGAACCGAACAGAAAGTGAAGTAGCACATTACCCATTAGCAGCACTTCAGAGGAGTGCAAGGATACAGAGCACTTAGCGTAGTTTTAAGTGCATTAAAATAAAACTTAATAAGTAGGGCCACTGTTCTCAATAATTAGGGCTATCGTTCACAATCTAAGCACATCTATGTACTTTTAAGTCCTCTTGGCTTTATGCGCAAGTTTGTGGAGTAACATAACTGACACAAAGAATAAAGTTGAAAAATCATCTTTAAGCAACGGCAGGCTGGTACTTAGTCACTCGCTGCTCAACTCTACATTAGGCTGACCCACTTGAGATCCCGAGTATCGTTTACTCCCGATCTACGGGGGCTTGGGGAAACACCATGCTTGGCAGGATTGTGCCCTTTTGTTCTCCTTCTGGGAGAGGCTGAGATACTTTGGCCCTCATCGCTGAAAAGGCTTTGGCTGAATATCAGCAGGGAGACATCCCACAGCCCAGCCCTGTTCCGGTGACGGCACGTGTGACGGGTCCTGTTCCCTAGCGCAGGATCAGGCCCTGGCTCTTGGATGGAGCGATGTGGCTTCTGATTTTGGGTCTGGCTGGGCCTGTAGAAGGAGAGCACACCCAGACCTGTCCGTAGTGGCACGTCGGTAACAAGTTCGCTGCCCATTTTCCCATGTGTTTCTCAGGTGTGGAAATAACGGGGATACGTCTCTGTAAGCTGAGGACTCAGACGCAGACCTTCATTTGCGGCCTGCTGGAGTGTGAATGATTGGAAGGGATTGAACAGAAATCCTTCAACTCCGGGAAATTTCCACATGGCTAGTCTGCAGCAGATCTTTAAAATCCTTTCTATCCCCTACCAGACCCTTAAGAAAGACGAGATTTTGGCTTGGTTCCAGCGACGTTAGGCTGACAGGATAACGTTGGCCTGGTTTCACATGCATCCCTACATTAATTGTGGGTTATTTAAGCTGCTCCCCAATACTACTACAGCATGAGAGAGCATTTGCTGATCATGAAGGAGGCTCATTGCTTATCTCCTTTCTGCATTACAGAAACAAAATAAATAGAAAAGGGGGGTGAAAGCGGTCTCTACAGTTCATCCCTTCTTTCTCCTTACACCTGCCACCTTTTGGGTTTAGACTCCCTAGTTTCACAGTGCTTTGCACTGTGTTCTCTCACAAGGACGTGTATCTGTCGATGCAAAGAAGCGAGTTCCTCTCCTTCCTAAAGAGGTGGACTAAACTACTAGAGGCTTGGCATAACTAGGGCAGAAACAGCGAAATTTATCAAAAGCTTATCATTTTTAATAAGGTTTATTTTTAACCCTATTTTTGGATCAGCAGAAATCGGTGCCTGTTCAGTGTAAATTGGTTCTCTGCCAAATTAAGGTTAGTTGACGTAAGACAGTTTCAAATCGATTTCAGAGTGTCTACACAGGAGCTTGGACTGGTTTAACAGAATTGATTTAAAAACACACCTTTAATTAAACCAGTGCAACTTTGTGTAGATAAAGCCTTGCAAAATCAATTTCACATTATGTTCCATGACGAGGAGTTCTGAGCTTCCATTATCTCAAAACCAGAGGCTCCTTTGAAAAGCCAGGATTTACAGAGGGTATCCTGCTCAGATCAGCCTCGCTTACTGTCACTAACAGGCCTGTGTCGATAACAGTTTAAAAAAAGGTGCCCCCATGTAGCTTTAACTTCACGGCCTTTCCCCGCACTGTCTCTCTCGCCTTCCCTCTCCTCCCCTCCGGTCAAACACATCCTTGCTCAAGGTTTTGTGGCAGTTAACTGTTTCAGTCAGGGAATTATTTTATACTAATATCGTTAAACCAATGCTATCCCTCATATGGTGAAGTTATACCCTGTCAAGATAAACTATACCGGTTATGCCCCTTTTAGGCTGCATGGTCTCCTCTCT